GGGGGGGTAAGGGGGGGGGGAGCTGATTCAAATAAATTAATAAGGCTGTGGCTTTAAAAAAGCAGTCAAAATTAAATAAAAAGGCGTTTAAGACCCACTATGTTTTACTGTTGAAAAGGGATACTACTATCAGGATAATTCAATCAAATGACCGCAAAGATCTTTAAGAATTAAATAAATAAAACTGATGCATGTATGAAGCTCAACTATAAAGATGAACACAGCAACACATCACCGACGTCACGTATCCTAGGACTTTGTTTTTTCATTTTTTTTTTTTTTTTTTCAAAATCCCTGAAGCAGGACTAGGGTCCGAAAGCCTGATTACATACTGTATAATGTATGTTTATAGTAGATCTTCATAGATGCATCAGTATTATACCGGTAACTTATTTACCATCCGGATAAAAACACAAAAAATACTCTCAACCGGTTTTGGCCATCAAAATTAATTTTCCTTGCAGAAAAAAAAACAGTTTTCTCCTTCTTACAAACCATTGCTCGAGCCGTCCCGTTGGTTTGAGGTTTTATTATTATTATTATTATTATTATTAATTTATTTATTTATTTATTTATTTATTTATTTATTTATTTTTGCAATTTATATAATTTCTAAATGACTGGCCAGACAGTTAGACCACCGCGCCTTCCTGTCCGTTTAATTGCTTACAGTACTCAGTACACCTTTTAACCGCCTACATCTACTGGTACTCACCCCCTCCCCCCCAAAAAAAAAATGCATGAAAAATTAAATAAGCTCAAATGAGCCCACGTACATGTAAGTAAATGAGGCGTGAGTGCGATAAACAATTATAATCTTCTTAGTTATGGATGCCACCTTTTCAAATGATATAATACCTGTAAACATCCAACAGCCCAAGTTCTCTTTTCACTATTATTATTATTTTAATTTTATTTATTTAATATTTGTTGGTATCCTTCCAAGATCTTCCTCCTAATGTAAAATAATATTTATGCACACAAGCTATTGCGCAATCCGTTTCTGCATTTGTATTCGAAGTTTTTTACCATTTCTAATTGAATACTTTTTCAGTTCTAAATTACTGCCCTGTCACTTTTAATACCTACTAATTCATCCATTAAAGTAAAATGCATGAACTCTATTTTCGCATTTTGAAACTTTCTTCATTATGAGGACTGTAATATAGACTATTCACATAGACTTGGCTCACTGATGATATTGACGAAGCAGATTTTATGATAATGACCAGCAGTGCGTTGTTGTCAAATTGAACGCTAATTCTAAACTATACCGGTTTTTTTTTAATTCCGAAGGTATTTTGCCTTGATTGCGACTTCCCTATTCTGGGGCCAGGTCGTAGTCGTGACGGAAAGTCATGCGTTATCCGGAATTCAAGCTGGTGACTTTCCATCACCATGGTTGATGATGGCTTTGAGTTTTTTGGCAGCCGTGCACTCTACCGAATCAAACACAGTTTTAGAAATTATTTCTAGACAAAAACAAATACATTAAACATGCTATAATTCGCACCCGCGTTCAAGTATCTAACTGTGTCCATGATAGCGGAGTTACCATGGAGCCGCAGAAGCTTTGTTGGAAGACTTCAGATCATATGAAAACTTTCTACCTTCTCACGGAGAGGACCAGTTTGAATGTACAGTATACTAGTATGTGTAGGCTATATCTGCAACTACAAGCGATAGCCCGGGTGCCGTACAAATGTATTTCATCCCGAGCCACGCCAGTCCCTGAGCATGGACTTATCATCAACATATCAACATTGAACCTCATGATGTACACGAGGCCTTGTTTGAGAAGCCGACACGGAGCCTTCCTAGATGCATTAAGTTTTTTTTTTAATGCTGAAATTTAGTTTGGCTTCCATTCAGGTAGATGGCACTATATAGTATTCCAAACCCCATGCCAGCGATTTTTCTTAGTAAGCTTTTACCGTTGATAAATCAAAATAATACCTTTGTTTAATGAAATTCTGTAATTAGGGGCATATAACTACATAATTAAAACATTTAAACCCAAGGGACGGCACGGGATTGTAGTCCATACACTCGTGATCAACTCTGCCAATTTTCGTGATAAAATCTTGTTCACGGATGAAGTTACGCCCCATACCGCCTGCTATCTCACCTTAAAATAGAATGGCGTTAAATTGACGATTAAAGCTTTGAGTTTCCTATACATATACTGTACATTACAACGAGAAATATAAAAGGCAATATTTTACATTTTCAATTCTTTATTGTTGTAAATCAACACAAACATACGTGTAGATGCTTTATTGAATAATTAGATGCAGGAAAAATCTCGTTTTCGGTAGCTGGATAATAATAAAGGGATACAATATCCTTATAGTCTGGATTCAGACACTTTTTTTATATATTACATCAGTACATAGAAGCTGTTAATCGATAAATGTTGGTGTAATACATGAATAAAAGACAGTGTTATATAGTAGTAAATGTTTGTCTTTGCTTCGTTGTTTCTCCACAGGAAGTTTGCAAATGCTCTCTCGACAGAAGTTTAACAGACACCTGTAACGAAAGAAAATTGGACGACCCCTTTTAGTAAATAGATAGCGCCACAAATGCCGCGTTTTCATTTTGTTAAGCTCCATGTTTTTAATCACTATATCAGTATCAACTATAGTAAAAAAACATATTTTCTAAAGAAATTGAATGGCAAACAGCGTCTGACGTCTAAACTTTTAATAGGTAAAAACTACTTCCGTATTTCAAAATACATTAAGATCGCTTCTCCCTATCCCTGTCTCTAATTCAATCTACAAGTTTGGATTGTCACCTTTCTAAATGCGCATTTACTTCCTTGTCTGCAGCACGCTGCGTTCGACAACCTTTTGGAGGGGCGTATCTTTGTAGTATGAGTTCTCGGAGCTGTAAAACCAGAAAAAACAAATAAAACTTTTTATTAGTATGGATTTATGCACGTATTACATGTATTATCGTAATACATGTAATACGTGCATAAATCCAGACTTATAAAAAGTTTTATTTGATTAATAGGGAAATTACTGTTTGATGAAATAAGGATATTGCGACATTTTATGCAGAATAAGATTTGTTCCGCAAAATATTTTTGGAAACATCTTACTCTGCCTAAATCAGAATGTCGACAATGTTAAGTCGATTCTGTGATATTGTTCTAAATACATTCCACAAATTATCTCCATAACGTATAATAAATGTACTTGACATACAGGTACCTGTAGCTACTAGAAATGGGACTTTATTTGTCACCATGGCCACTCACAGTATATTGCTACTACAACATTCTTCATTGTTTCAGTTAAAATGGAAGACACGAAGAAAAGTTTCATTTTGATGTTTCGCAAAGGGGAAACTAACCCGCTGAAATTCGTGAAACTCTTAGCTAAGACAAATTTCGTCTTCAAACAACATGTCATGAGAACACAGTAAGATACACTGTAATCGACTGAAAGTCTAAAGAATTCTGACGACCATTTGTGAAATACAGTGTGCTCTTTAAGTACCCTCGATTATGGGCATCATCAATTTCCACACGATTTCCTATTTTACCACGGTTTCCTCCCGGTTTTACGGTACAATTTCCCACTCAACACATCGATATATCCTACAACACTACAGATATATATTCTCATATAATATAATAATAATGGTATAATTCTATAATGTATCCAATGTATAATATAGTTTCAAAATAAAGAATAAATGATGTTTTATTGAATGAATGCCTATGAAGAAAACTATTGGGTGTTCAATTCAAACCCCGGCCAATACAGATCGAGTCTTGAACTCTATATGTGAAGCGTGTCTCTGTTCTGCGATCGACCAAACGTTTGTTGGCTCCTAGATCTATTCGAGCAATCACTACTCACATTTTACCACAGCGTGGTGGACATCTAAAACCGCCAGAAGATCCCCTTTTCATCCTCTGGTTGTCTATCGCGCGTTTTACAACACTGAGGATGACATTCTCGCCATAATCACCGGCGTGTCTGAAACAGAAAAGTGAAATATTTTATAATGTAGTTTGTAACGTTGGTAATGTAAGACATTAATTCTATGAAAGCCCATTCATTACACACACACAAACACACACACACACACACGCACACACACACGCACACACGAGTATGAAAATATGAAAGATCACCTATCGAAAATCGAACTCCTTTCCCGAGCTTCCGTCTCCCTATGGATTCCCCCTTCTCAGTTTAATTCAGTGTGTCCGCCATCTTGTAACAGTATTAGCAACAACTGATATCATTTGGCATTCAAAATGTAACTAAGGTCTCGTAAAAGGCGGTATATAGCCTGCATTTGTCAACAGATTTTTATTGCCACCACGTTTCAATATTTTTACCGCAGTGCTTGGTAAATAACATAAAGCCTTTAACACTGGGCGGCATCCTCTCTGGGTCCCGAAGTACGGCCCCGTTTGAGAGTAAAAAATAATACTTTACGTGTCAACAACTGCCCGATCGTTGAGCATTCATTCTGCAACAGAAGCGATGCTTGTGCCTCCTTTCTACGATCTCAGAGATGCCAGTTTCATGGTCGCGCAAAGGACACAGAAAGGACGCCGACCACTCTATCTGGTGCCATTTAGACAATAAGGTAGTGTTACGGAATGAGTTGTATATACGTTTGACCTTCCAAATACCGATGAAAATAATTAAATAAACATATGAGCAAACACTAAATCTCTAAATCTCCACACTATTTAGCAAAGAGTGCACGTGCATATCTACAAATAACATGTATGTTCATCGGTCTGCTACCAGTTTCTTGGTTTTAGCTCCAATTAAACGTTGAGCAAAAAGACGAATGTCGTACGTTTATACATTTTGCCTCTTGTTGCCTCTCACATCTGCGTGTAAATCTTACCATTATTCCGTTTATACTGTAAAATACCTATGTCCATTAGAACGGGTGATTTATGTGCCTATATATTCATATGTCATATATTCATAAATAAATGCTACGGTTGAAAACCACTAGCCTGCTTCTTGTGGTCATCTTTTCGTCTCCAGACGGTACACACTGATCAGTGAAGTAATAAAGGAAGTATATCACCAATTCAGCCGAGCTTGGAGAGTTACGACAATGGATCTTAGTAACAACCTGTGAATTGACTAAATAAACAACCAAGAAAAATCTACATATAACGTTAAGGGTAACTACGGATTAGTTATTTAACATACACATACCCGATGTCAGCTGCTGCAACAGCCAAAAAGAACAAGATCAACATAATTTCGGTCTTCATCTCAGAGCTTTATCGTGGGATGATGTTACCTGTTAGCTGGAGTGGCATTATAAAAGCTTACGTCATCACATTCAGCCAGCTTACTGCTGATCAGAACCCCGTAACTCGAAAGCATCGAGCACTATAATAGTCTCGAAATGAAAGGTGATATCGCTTTCGCAATGCACAATGCTTTCTAGTTACGGGACCCAGGATGACACATACATAAAGGCGATTTTTTTCATCGGGTGCTAGTTCATAGGCGAAATAAATGCGGATTTTTGTTTAGAGGGAAAGAGAGAATGTAATTTCAGAACGCTAAACATTGTTATTAGTTGTGGCGGTAAACATAAAAGTACTTTTGTAAAGCTATCCCAGCAGGCATAGTTGCGTTGGATCAACGTTGAAAACAGGTTGATAAGTTGAATTGCCGTTGAACTACCTAAATTCAACGTAAAATCAACGTTGATCCAGCCACGTCAAAACATCGTCATAATGTGACGTTGACTCAGCGTTGTATTTTGGTCATTGACACAACCTTGCAGACATGGATTGTAATTCAACAAATTAATTATTGAAAACGTGATACTTTGTTTATCAATACTGTAACTAACTTTATCAAAATAATAAAAAACTGTTTAAAAGTAAAAGTGACAGTTGTTTTGTGTCTTTAGTGAACTAGTGAATTTTGTTAACTTGTTATTCAGAAATACATTCCAATAAACTGAATTCCTTGCAAGGTCAGCTAACACTAGGATCAATAAGTTGCTGTATATAGGAAGAAGTGAAGTTAATAAAGTTGACAGTTCTCCGTACCCTGTTATAGATAGACAGGTTGAGGTGACTGTCACTTTGTTATATATATATATATATATATATATATATATATATATATATATATATATATTAGAAAAAAACTATATATATATATATATTAATCTAAACCTTGGAAATTTTGACTTAAAGGCCATACATATATACCCTACACATAGTTAGCCATCAAACATGTCATACTGCTAAACACATCCAGGCTAAAAGGGTGCACCATGTTTAGGTGTAAAACATGCTTAGGAGATAAATGCGTTGAAAAAAATCTGGCAAAGCAGGCACTTGGATGTTTTTACAGTGTACGTTATAATTGTGTACCTGTGTTTTGTACCAAAAATTCAGGTCATTTTAATGTCTTTTCATGCAAGAATGTTGTCTAACAACTGGCGTTGATACAATGTTGTTCTCTGACGTTGATACAATGTTGTTATCTGAGGTTGAGTCAACTTTCAAATCCAATGTTTCCAACGTCTTCTCAACGTTATGGTTCAACGTTGTTTCAACGTTAAAACAACATAATTTGGGACATATTCAATTAGATTTTATATCGGTACAATAAAAAGAAATGTGTCGGCTGTTTCTTGCATGGTCATCCTGAAAAATAAATACGATGACCAAATACCAAACGGTGGTCCTTTTATTATGCTTAAATTGCCCTCTCTGTATATGTACTGTTTAGTTCTCATATTAGTGATATTTTCATATTAATAAAAAAATTAAATTGAAATTAAACAATAATTTCGCTACCCAACAGCATGGTTTAATTTGTCTTGCCCCGGTGGTCTCAAAATGGCAGAACCGACCTTTGTTACGGGTTACGAATACTAGTGTTTTAACTTAATTGGCCTATCACATTAACTCTCCATCATTTGACTAGAAAAATAATATCTGTATCAAAATAGAGAAAAAGGCACATTTCATATAAACAGCCTAACATCAATTTACGATTTAGTAAGCGTTACCTTGTCCCCTCTGAACACTGTCATTTTTGCAGATGGCACACAAGTCTACATGTATATTGTTTGCAAGAGCAGCCAGTCTGCAACAATCACTTGTATGGAGGCTTGTCTTGCAGAGATTCGAGAATGGATGAAAGTGAACATGTTGGCTTTAAATGATAGTAAGGTTGAGTTGATTTGGTTTACCTTAAGGTTCAAGGCAAATAGGAAAAATGCAGCAAACTGCAACATTTTTATAGGAGATGTTCTCATAAAACCATCTAGTTCTGTAAAAGATCTGGGAGTTACCCTCGATGAAAATGGCACTATGGGGAAGCGTGTATCTGAAGTGTGTAAAACAGCATCTTATGCACTATGGCGCATTGAAAAGAGGAAAGTGTTAAATAACAAAACAAATGAAAAATTGGTACATGCATTTATATCATCAAGATTAGATTACTGCAATAGTCTCCTCTTTGGTATATGTGATCATCAGGTTTAAAATTACAAGGTATTTAAAACTCAGCTGCAAGACTGGTTTGTCAAATAAAGTGCAATAGTACACACCATATCACTCCCATTCTGAAAGGATTACACTGGCTGTGAAGCAGAGGGTTGATAATAAAGTACTTTGCATTATTTTAAGGCGATCCATACACAAGAACCAATATAATCATCTGATCATATTTGTGTCAACTCACCACGTCTCACACGTTTTAATACTGAGAATGACCATATTTTAGGTAATTTTGTTTTATAGAAGGGGTCTCTCAAAGATTATTGTGATCGGAGTTTTATCATCTACGGACACACGACTTTATAAGTACTCATTCTGATGCTAATTCCCGGCACGTAAATCATTGTTTCAACGTTGACAAGGCGTTGGATTAAGATTGAATTTGAAAATTGGATCAACGTAAAATAACAACGTTGTATCAACGTCAGATAGAAACATCGTATCAACCCTAGATGTAAGACAACATTCTTGCATGAAAACGACCTGAAATGTTTTTTTTTTTAAGTTTTTTTATTCAAAAATTATAACGTACACTGTAAAAACAGCGTTTAGCCCCTAAAACCATTTCTAAGCGCCTGTTTTGTCTCATTTTTTCAACGCGTTCAGCTCCTAAGCACGTTTTTCTCCTAAACATGTTACGCCCTTTTAGCCTGAATGTGTTAAGTAGTATGATGCGTTTAACAGCAAATATTGGGTGTATATGTATGGCCTTCAGCTTAGAGTTTCAGCGGTTTATATATATATGGTCTTTAGGGTTAGGGTTTCCAAGATTTAGCTTTATATATATTGTAAACATCATCATTATTATTATTAAATGTAAACGTTACTAGCATCTTTGTAGAGGGCATGCAGAGTGAAGTTACGCTCTGCAAGGATTTCATTAAGGGGTGATAAATGGTGTAACAATAGTCGAAAATCCAACCAATTCTCTTTTCTCTTCCTCAGAGGAATTACCAAGGACATAATCATAGAGGCTATGAAACGTGCAGTTGACAAGCAGAGGATGCAAAGGAAAAATTTTGGAAAATTGCTTTGGCCTTGTTTTTGTCGATAAGGTTAAGTTTTACTCACGTCTTCATCAAGGAATTGAGGCTTCAGTGGAACTCTAATGTAGATCGCCAAGAAGAAAAAGCTCGCAATTATCAAAGTTTTACTCAGGTCAACATAGCACAAACCACACGATATGACGACGACACTCGAACTGTGTAACATGAAGCACCCTGAAGCTGCCATGAAATGAATGAAGACTTGTATCAAGACCTTAGTAATGGATTATTAAGAAAAAGTTAATGTTCAATGTTGATAAAACCGAGTTCCTGGCCTTTATTCAGCCACACAATCAAAAGTAACCCTAGGATATCAGTTTCAGAATTAGAGGTAGCAGTCTATCCGCAGACCACCCGTGTGGATAAATCTTCCATTTTACCGTTCTGAACCTATTTTTTATGACAACTAACCTTAAAATTCCCAATCCTTAGATATTCCCACTTCTTTTTATGTATCTTTCGTTTAATGACACCAACTGTTGACAAAAATACACATGAAATTACGAAGAGCTCAAAAGTCGTCCATTTTTACTCGATTTTGCTGAAAGTAGTGCGAAAATGGCCGTCGCTTCAGCCAGTGTGCACGCGGACAGACTGTAGTGTGGTGTATGTACAGTAGCTCTTAGTGCCAAACCTTGGTGTTTCCTTTGATTTCACTTTAACAATGGATATGCAGACCTCTCAAATTGTCTGGTCAATCATATTTTAATTACAAAATATAGCATCTTTTAGACTTCAAACTTCAAAGATACGCCTCTCCAAAAATTTGTCGTAGGCCTACACAGTTTGTACAAATTGGGAAGGTCATTGCAGCGGGAAAAGATGGCAATTCATGGTTTATTTACTAAATTGGGAATAAGAAGAATATTTAAACAATAATGAACTATATGTCAAAACCCGATATTGTACTGTTCTGACCAAGGTTAATTGTCAAGTATTTCTGCAGAATGAAATAGAATGACACAGACACGTGTTTTACTGTTAGCCATCTTTACTGAACCGGAAACCCCACACTGACATGCTCACTACACAAATATTAAATATTAGATGTGATTATCTAGTCCAGTAACCGGTTGGCTGTATGAATAGTTTATATGAATAATATTAAGCACATACAAAAGAATAAGGTTCTTCCTCTTCAATCAACAGCTGAAGTTGTTAGCTAATGTCACTTCCAATATCTATATGTCTCTCAGAACATCTTCATCACGGAATGAGGCTATCCAGGTGAATAGTCTCTATCCAAGAGATATACTTGCCTCCCTTACTGGTGTAGGGTGTTAATTATGGCGATCGATTGACAGAGAACCAGGAGAAGACTGTAGGAAGGCCCAGAAAGTCGTACACATTACGATAAGACAGGGACAGTCTCAACAGAAATTATTGGGTCGTCCTCCCCTATACTTAGAACCTAGTGCATTTACTGTATTTTGTTCATTAGCTAAAGTATAAGTTGTTGATTGAATAAAATCTACCTTATACCATAACACAGCCATTCTCTCAAGGAGAGGACCAGTTTGAATGTACATGTATACTAGTATGTGTAGGCTATATCTGCAATTACAAGCGATAGCCCGGGTGCCGTACAAATGTATTTCATCCCGAGCCACGCCAGTCCCTGAGCATGCATGGTCTTATCATCAACATATCAACATTGAACCACATGATGTACACGAGTCCTTGTTTGAGAAGCCGACACGGAGCCTTCCTAGATGCATTAAGTTTTTTTTTAATGCTGAAATTTAGTTTGGCTTCCATTCAGGTAGATGGCACTATATAGTATTCCAAACACCATGCCAGCG